CCATTATAATGACCAGTCTTCAGTATTTTAAAATTTTATGTTATCACCTTTACTATCTTCTAAGTCTGTGCTCTTCAATGTAGTGCTATGTGGTGTTTCAAATTAATTTATATTAAATAAAATTAAAATTTAGTTTTATTAGCCACATTTCAAGTGCTCAGTAGCCATATGTGGCTATTGGTTAATATTTGGGACAGCACAGATATAGATCATTCCATCATTCCAGAAAGTTCTGTCAGACAGTGTTGGTTTAGATTTTTATTTCCTTAGCTTTTCCTAATTCACCCCTAAAGTCTATAGCCAATTATATAAATATTATTTTGTGATGGGAAGACTTACTCTCTTCAGTTTCATCTTTATCTCCAGAAGATGTCTGATTTGTTCTAAAGAGTCAGGCTGCTTTTTGAGCCTGTTACACAGCTTTCATCCTGGAATGTTCTTTTACTTTCATTATGGGTAGGACTCTCTGACACTTCCTGGGCCAAGGACAAAAAATGGGGAGCCTCAGTCTGCAGCCCTTTTATCTTCTCTTCCTAGTCCTGGCCCCCATACCCAGTTTTAGTGCACAGACCAAACAAAAAGCCACTCCTTTGTCACTATTGGGCCTGGGCATGTGTGCATGTCCAGTCCCTAAGTTGGCCCTAGTCATGATGGATTTGGAGAGAAGCCTGTGCGAACCCTGAGATGGGGTCTGGGTGATTTGAGCAGGGAATTCGGAGGTCCCGAGTACCAGGAATGTGGTTTAGAAGGCAAGAGTGTAGAGACTGGGTGAGTTCCATCATGTTGGCTTCTAGGGCTCCTCACCCCATTGGGGGAGGGGCGCAGCTGCAGGAGAGCCAGAGTGGGGGGCCCTTTCCAGCGCGAGGTTTGGAAGAGGGTGTCAGGCTCTCTTAGTCTGAAGGCTCCTTTGTTTCTCTCCTGTGCTGGATTTCCCATCTCCTGTATCTGTTTTCTCCTTTTTATTGATTTCCTTACTCCTTTCAGAGGAACACCTCTTCCATTCACTTTCTAAGAAAGTTGCCCAGGAGATGAACTATTTGAGACTTTGACTTTAAAATATCTCTATTCTATCCTCATACTTAATTGATAATTTGGTCATTCAAGTCTAGGTTGAAAGAATTTTTGTTCAAGAATTTTTAGACATTGTTGCATGGTCATCTTGCTTCTCATGTGGTTGAGAAGTCTGCAGATTCTGGTTCTTGGACTTGTTTCCTGTCTTTTTCTCTCTCTAGAAACTTATAGTATTTTTTCTTTGATCTGAGTGTTCTACCATTTCACAATAATAATAAGAGGTGTAATCTATTTTTACCCAGTATTTTTAGAGCTCATGTCCTTCAGGTCTGGGAAATATTGTTGAATTCTTTGAATTTCTCCTGTTTACTCTGTCCTCTTCCTGAACCTTCTACTATTCAGATATTGGATCCCCTGGACTGGTTTTCTAATTTTCCCTTTATCTCTACTATTTCCCATCTTATATTTTTGTTCTACTTTCAAAGTGGGAACTTGCCTCAATTTTACCTTTCAATCATTCTATTGAGTTTTAAAATTCTATATCTTTTTTAATTTTCAAAAGCTTCAGAATGTTTTAAAATAGCATCCTATTCATAATTCAAGGTTGCAATGTTATCCTTATTGCCTTGAGAATATTGATGGTACTTTCTCCCACCCCTACCCCAAATTTGTTTCCTCTAAGTGGCTATTTCGGTCTCTCTCATTCGGAGCTTTCCACAGATATTTCAGAATTCTACTACTTATATTTAAGGATTGGGGATCCAAAAAGCTAAATGGACTGTATTGATTGTGAACTTGAATGAAGGGTGATCTGGTTGCCTCATTTAGTTGGGGGAACCTCTGATGTCAGTTACTCTTCTCAGACTAGTCTCATTCCCCAGAACAGTCTTCCAATAGCCTGCCTGGAAGGTGGATGTCCCTTCACCAGCATTCTGAGAGTTAAAGGGAGAGGTCATGGATCTCAGCATCTAAATGCATATGTTTATTTAATCCATCTGTTATAGGTTCAGTAATTCAACTCTCAGCTGGTATCTCATAGCCTAGAGATCCTATATTTTATTTTTCAGAAAATAAATCTCAAGTGTTCCTTTGGGGATGAAGATGGGAGATGGTCACCTGGCTGCCTGGAATGAGGAGGATCTGGGTTTCTTACTGCCTTTTAAATAAACTTTCAATCAATCTTTCTTATTTTAGATACACTCCCTTTACCCTACTTCCAAAGGGTACATGGTGCTACCAGTTCCTGAACATTTAGTAAAATTAAAATCAGATTGGCTCTTGGGTTTTCCCATGGGTCTTGTAAGATTTAGCCTTTTCAGGTCTCCTAAGTCATTAACCCCTGGCCTCCTACTTTCCAGTTCTAAAATGTTATTGCTTTAGTCTCTTCTCTTGTTCTTCCCCCTTTTGTGGATTATATCTTAAAAAATCACTTACTGCTGTTTTAGTGAAGTTTAGGGAATGGAAAATATGTGCACATGCTTAACCAGCTATTTTTCCTGGAAATCTTTGCTTTTCTCTACCTCAGTTTGATTTTGCTTTTGAGCTCAGCTCACATTCTCCCGAGTAATCTCTGTCAATCAGGATTTCCTCAGTCACTTCAGGGCTCCATCTTCCTTGGGTTTGCCTGTAAGTTCCAGCTTCCTTACCTAGAGCCATAACGTCAGTTGGGGATGTGGGGATGGGGGCATCTCTGATTGTCATGTAGTCACACTGGCATCCATGGTAACTTCTCAACCTTCACTTGGCCCTTGGTTAACATCTGCAGAGATCATGTCTGCAGTCTTCCCATTCCAAATCTAGGTCTTCTCCAGTTTGGCAGGCCCTGGACGGCATGCTGGTGTGTGAGCAGACTTGTTGAGGCAGCCTTTGATCTGTCCTCCTGGGCAATCCACATGGCTGGTTTTCTTCCTGCTCTTGCACCATGCTGGGCAGGAGACAATTTTGTGAGTCTTCCTGCTTCCTCAGATTCTACCTGGGATATGGGGCACAAATGTCTTCTATTTTTGGCTCCCAAACCTATCTGGAGCCATACTGTTTCAGTCCATGGGAGATTCCATCCACTGAGTATATTGCTGATGCATAAATATTATGCCTTAAGTTTTGTAGGGCTCCGGATTCTGAAGCTTAAAAGCTCAGGTTATGATATCTCAAAAGCCATTTCTCTAAAACTATGGTTTCTGCTGAGAGTTTCTGAAGCCAGTTTAGAAACTCAAAAGCTGAAAGTTGCACTTCTGCTCTGGGTTTCTACAATGATGTTCTGAGGCCTTGAAAGGGGAAGGCCTTAGCTGCAGCCTGGGTGGGGTGGAGTGGGAAGCTCAGGAAATAACTGCCTCACTATGAAGCCTTTATTGTAAACCTTTTTGCTCTGTTAATTATCTTCTCATGTATCTAAAGATTTGCCTTTTCACCTGGATGTTCAGTTTGCTGAGATCAGAACCACACTTAGACAATTTTTTTCAGGAAAGGAAAACATTTTCTTTATCCTTATAACTGTCCAGCATACAAAACCACTTCATGGATTTGTTGAAAATCTTTAATTTTGTATCTTTATGACACATGACTATACCTAGAATATAAACATTTAAATAACTGATAAATTTGCTGAATATATCTTGGAACAGTTCCAAAAAGAGAAAATAAACTTTGAAAATATTCTTATACAATTAAAACAATTACATTAATTATATTTATAATATTTACTTTATACAATTAAAAATTTTACTTGGGCAATAACTGCATGAATAGAAAAGAGATGCTAATATTTAAAAAAGGACCCTTATGTATGGTTAAAATAATCCTATTCTAATTTGACTTTTCAATTCAGCTTCATGTTGACAGGTCTGTTTTAGAAGCCCAGCTTTCAAGGACAAAGAGGACCAGTTTTCCTTGTTGTCTCTTGCCCAGTGCCAAGAATGTCAGTGTGTTCCTTTTTTAGAAAATGCAGCTGCTGGTTTCTAGCCTATTCTAGACACTCCAGACTCAGGTGACAACTGCTGAGGGCGGGGAGGGGAGGCAGGTGTATAGAAAGCCCATGGTCAGGAAAGCTGTTGGGTAACTAGGGTAGAGGTAAATACATTAGTTGGGTGCAGAAACATTACCAGGACTTATTGTGAGAAGTAGGTGGGATAGAGCAAGCAGGAAACTCATCCTGTGCTGCAAAGGTTGGTGAGGCCTCATGGTCCTTCATGATGGGTTGATAGTAAATTAATTTCATACCATGCCATTGTTGTCCATTATTTAATTCGAATTAAGAAATATCTTTTGAGTCCCTCTTAAATGCAACAACTGTGCCAGTTCCGAGGGATAAAATCCAAAGATGGGTAAAATATTGCTCTATTTTCAGTAGAACTTGCCTCATTATTATTCTCATAACCCACCAGGTATGTTGCTTCCCCAATGCGCAGCTTCTCAATCACTCTCCACTTCCCCTGGGGCAGGATACAAATGCCTTTGCCTGACTCCTAAGGCTCTTCACAAGCCAATTCCAGCCTATTTTCCCAGCCCCTTCTGCTTATAGTCGGCATCGTGATATACGGTGACTAGGCCATGCCACCATATTCTCTTATAACTCTGTGCCTGTGGCTGGAACTCCTAGTCTTCACAATTTAGCTGAAATGTCATCTTCTCTGCGGCACATCCTGAAACTCCTCCTTCTTCTCCCCAAGTGGCGTTAGGGGCTCCTCTTCTTTACTTCGTTTGTGCCTATCACTATTCGAACCCTCGGTGATATAATATCGGAATTGTTTGTATGCAGTTTGTTTTCTCCCATAGTGGACATTTCTTGAAGGATGGAACTGTGTCCTGTTTATCTTTATATCTCCAGCACATGCCATAGTTTTGGTACACAGCAGGCACAGAATTAGCAACGGTTTGGCGAATGATTGAAAAATGACTTCATTTATTTCCTTTACTTTTTTGATATGTCATCTGCCAGTTTAAAAAATTCTGTCTTCACTTGCCCCATCGTTACTCACCAACTCTCTTTGCAGAATGCTGTCGGAAGGGTACCTCAGTGGACTTGCCTACCAGAACAACATCCCCTGGAGCTGCGCATCTTATAATGAGAGCGTGGTGGAGGAAAGGGAGGAAGAGACAAACTCTGCCGCTCTCTCCTGCTCCTCTGTGGACGAAACACAAGTCGGAAGTCTCTACCTGAGCTGCAAATCCTCTGGCAAGTTCATTTCTCCAGTGCATTCGAGAGAGAGCCAACACAGTAGAGATCAGAGACTCACCGTGCTGCAGACAAACCCCAACCCTGTGTTTGAAAGCCCAAACTTGGCTGCAGTTGAAATATGTAGAGACCTCAGCAGAGAGACCTACTTGGTTCCACCTTCCTGCAAAAGTATTTGTAAGAATTACAATGACCTACACATTGCAGGGGGCCAGGTGATGGCCATTAATTCCGTGACAACAGATTTTCCTTCCGAGGGCAGTTTTGAATACGGCCCTTTGCTGAAATCATCGGAGATTCCTTTGTCGATGCAGGATTCCATCTCTACTCAGCTCAATGACTTTCCCCCAAAACCTATCCAGCGGTATTCGTCCTACTGGAGAGTAACCAGCATTAAGGACAAAAGCAGCCTGCAAATGCAGAAGCCGATTTCTAATGCTGTGCTGAACGAGTACCTGGAACAGAAGGTGGTGGAGTTGTACAAGCAGTACATTATGGACACTGTGTTTCACGACAGTTCTCCTACCCAGATTCTGGCATCTGAACTCATCATGACAAGTGTGGACCAAATTAGCCTCCAAGTGTCTAGAGAGAAGAACCTGGAGACCTCAAAAGCCAGGGATATAGTCATTAGCCGCCTGTTACAGTTGGTGTCCACTGAAATCAGCACTCCTAGCCTCCATATTTCACAGTATAGCAACGTGAATCCGTAATAGAGAGGCTGCTTCCATTCCCCTTGCTCGACTACTCACAACTGAAACACTTCATTCATTTATGCTGAGAATGTGGAGGCGGGGTTGTGGAGGAGTCAAGAACTAGAGGAGTAAACATTGGCCGGAGCTGAGGTGTGAATTAAGAGGAAATCTCATAATATTACACATGATGAAGAAATGCGGGAAGAGGAGCTATAAAGAATGATTTAAGAGGGCTGTATAGCAACAAAGCAAAAATAAAAATAATTTAAAAAAGCAAAGGTAGGATTCATTTCAAGGTCTGTAGAAATTGGAAAAGAAGCCAAAGGTTTCATTGTAAAGAGTTAAGAATATGTTTGCTACTCATAAATTCCTCCAAGTTGTTTTTTTTCTTGAAGGAAACAAACTGTAGAAGGCTGCTATATTTGGGTAGAGATACAGGTTCAAACAGTTTCAAAATATGTTTATCTCTCTTTTCTATTCTGTATCAGTATATCACTTTAAAATATACTCTTTATAACCATGAAGACAGTAGCAAATTGCAATTGTATTTTTATTTTTGAATGATTACTCAGCTATAGCTACAGCCACAAAACAGTCACTCAAATCTCCTAATTCTGTTTTCTAGTGGAGATGAAATTTTCTAAATGGAAAATACCACATAGTGAATATTAAACTATTTTGTGTTGCTATGTATGATTTTCTTGGTGACACAAAATTATGAATCTTATTTTTCCTCATATTTTTCTCTTCCTTCTCTCCATGCTCTCTTGACCCTTCTGGACTGAGGAAGGGGTCTTCTGTACCTTGAAAACAAGGTCACAAGGTGTAGGGTCCCATGATATCAAATTCTGTAAATTCACACACCAGAATGGTGCCGTTATGAGGGCTGCACTGCTCTACCCCCTTCCTCTAGTTCAGGGATTGGCAAACTAGGGACAGTGGCCAACTATAGCTTGCCAACTGTTGTTATTTTTTGAGATAAAATTGACATATAACATCATATTAGCTTCAGGTGGACAACACGATTTGATACTTGTATATATTACAAAATGATCACCACAGTAAATCTAGTTACATCATTTTTTAAAATCCTCACTGATGGATATTTTTTCCATTGCTTTTTAGAGAGAGTGGAAGGGAAAAAGAGAGAGAGAGAAACATTGATGTGAAAGAAACACATCGATTGATTGCCTCCCGCACGTGCCCAAACTGGGGCCGGGGATCTAGCCTGCAGCCAAGGCATGTGCCCTTGGCTGGAATTGAACCTGGGACCCTTCAGTCTGCGGGCCGACACTCTAACCACTGAGCAAACTGTCTAGCGTTAGTTACATCATTTTTAAGTTCTCATGAGTTAAGAATTTTTAAAACTATTTAAAAATGGAAAAGCCAATCAAAATATTTTGTGACATGGGCAAATTATGATATTAAAAATCAGTGTCCATAAAATAAGGCTGTATTAGAATATAGCCACAGCCATTCATTTATGTATTGTCTATGGCTCCTTTCACACTAGAATGGCAGAGTTGAATAAATGTGACAGAGAACAGATGGCCCACCAAAACCTAATACACTATCTGTCCCTTGAAGGAAGTTTGCCAAAAGTGCAGTACAGTACTGCCTTGCCTATATAATGCTTGCTTGACTTAATTCAGCTTCTCTGGCGAAGATGGCTCTGAGATGGAGACTCAGGGAACTCTGGAGTTGGGGTAGCCCTTCAAAATAGATCTTAATTAAAATTTGAAGGTTGGCTTTGGTTCTCCAGCCAGACAGGAAGGGGGCATAACCTTAGTTGAGGCAATTTAGTTGAGGGCAAAATTCCCAAAGGGGGAATCAAGTGTGAGCCTTCAGCAGCCAAACTCTGAAAGCTGCTGGAGGAATGAACTAATCATCCAGAAGGAGGGATATGTGGAGTGAAATAGCATCCTCTACATTTCTCAGTATTTGTATCTGTAGAATGAATAATTTTTTTTACAACATATAATATTGTATAAGGAAACTTGGTTAAATAATTATTCAAAAATGTTATTCATTGTTTTAAATGTCATAATAATAGCTGCTATGTATTAATTACTTGCTGTGTATTTGGCATCATGTTAAGCATTTTGTATAGATTATCTTATATAATTCTCAAAATAACCTCTGAGAGAGTGCCTTTTTTTTTTTAAACAGAGGAGCCAACTGGACTCAGGGAAGTTCAATAATTTGTCCAAGGGCACACAATGGGTGGAGGAACTGGTGGAACTGTATTTGAATCCTGTTCCATTTAACTTGAAAATCCTGGTTCTTAACCACTACCACCTACTCTCATGTTGACCACTATGATTGCCTCATTAAAGACTGGTTTTCTACTCCAAGGGAAAACAACTCAATCTCTTAACTATTATGTTACTTCATTTTTATAGTGTTTTGCTTGATAATATTTATTTGCATATCTTCCCCCCTCCAGAAGATCAGCTTCAATTTGTTCGTTTCTCCACATGTCAAACAGCACTTGCACATAGTAGGTACCCAATCAATATATGTCAGAGGGATGAATAAGTTTTGGTTGCGTTGGGTACTACATCTGGTGGTCAAAGGGAAAGACCATAATATGAAAATCAGATGATTGTGACTAGAAAGAAGTGCTATTGAGAGTTCTCAAGGAGAAAATTGACTGAATAAATGAGCTTAATTTCTTACAGCAAGTTAGTAAATAGCATAATAAAATGCACTATAATAAAATGTGATCATGGATATTTTCCCTTTTGCTTACTTACTAAGAAATAATTTGTTACAAAGTACAGATATACCTCAGAGATATTGCAGGTTCAGTCCCAGACTACCACAATAAAGCGATATTACAATAAAGTGAGTCATAATCTTTTTGCTGGTGGAGGGTCTTGCCTTCAATTTGTAAAAAAATGCAACATCTGTGAAGCACAATAAAGCAAAATTCGATGAAATGAGGTATGCCTGTAGACTGGTTCATTTTTTCCAATGAGCATTTATTTGATGCTGTGTTTTTTGGCAGGGTGTTGGAACACTGTGTATTAAACATATGTAGGGAAGACACATCTGTTCTCTGCAAGTTTACTATGTTGGAGAGACTTAGCAAATAACCAGGGAACTAGTACCAATGCCACTTATTAAGCAAGAACTTGGCAAAGTGGTACAAACAGGAATACAATGATTAGTGATTGAACTCAAGTCTGGTAAGTGCTGAAAAGGAGACATGTCAGGAAGTACTGGACAGTGGAAGAACCCAGTGCAGGCAAAGATTCCAAGGAGAAGTGATGGGTATAATTACTTTTGAAGAACAAGACTGGGTCCAGGCAGATGGATGGGAGAGATGTTCTAGGCAGAGACACGGCACAGTTTGGTGTGACAGTTGGATGACTATAATCGGAGCTGAATGAATGCATGATTGGTCAGTATATTAGTTTGCTATTGCTATTGTAACCAGTTAACACAAAATTAATGGCTTAAAACAACACAAACATTATCTTACTGTTATGGTTGCCAGAAGTCCAAAATCATTTTCACTGGGCTAAAATCAAGGTGTTGGCAAGGCTGCATTCCTTGTGGAAGTTTTAGTTTCCAATATCATCTTCATAACAAACATTTTATAGATCACTCATTCTGTCTTTTAAAAATACTTTAAAATATTTACAGCTTTCATTTCAATTGGTAAACTATTACTCCTTGTTTGGATATAGTTATGAATTTTGTGTTCACTATGACCTATTCTGAATATCTTTTTGCTTTATAAGTTTCTTAATTTAGTGAGAACATTATTTTTACCATGATGCTGTGCTCTACCAAAATTAGTAATAAGTTTACCCTCTCAAAGGTAAAACTTTGTCTTCAAAGTTTAACTTTTTGGCAGCTCTCTCTAGGAAGAATGCCTGCCCTCTTCCCCACCTCCTCCCCCAGGCATGTTTGCTTTGCCTCTCTCTTTCTCCTAAGTTCCAAAGGCCCTTCTTTTGTCTCTGTAACTTGTTTCCTGAGCCCAAGCCTATGTCGTCTACAACTCATTTCTTCTACCTCTGTGAGTTTCTAAATAAACTTTCTCTTATAGTTTGAGTCTTGGCTCTGAATTCTTTCTGAGCCAGAACTCAAGTACTGAGGTTGCAGAACCAAGGTCCACTCTGACTCCTCTGGTCTAACACTTGGTGCTGTTTCCGCCACCAATACTTTTATCATTAAATGAGGCCAGAGAGCTAGGGGTTCTCATGGGCACAGCTTGAGCTCCTGGCTCTTACCCGAGTCGGTCTGTCTGCTTTCCCTGTGACCCAGTCTGCAGGCAGCCCCAGAGGTGCCTCTCATGCGTGCAAGCCCCAGAGCTCCCTTGGATTGGCTGGTGAGTCTCACCCTTTAGGCTGGGAAGCAATGACTGAGGTAAACCACAAACTCTTTAGCCATAAATTTCACTTACATCTAGTAGAACACAGGCATCCAATTAAACTCATAATCCTATAAAGTTGCCAGCAATCAAGCAAAAAAAAAAAGTTTAACTTTTTAATTGAATTTGTAATAGCATTGATATTAATGTCAGATGCTTTATCTTCAACAGAATGAACATTCAAAGCTTTATTTTAATTACATAAATTGAATGGGGAAAAATGAACCATTATTGGAATTAACCGATTTTCTATTTGAAGCATCTGGGGTCATTTAACTTCATGAAATTCCTCTTTTGTTCACGGCACAAGCATATTTATAATAATTACATTAGCTTTTTTAAACATGCACAACTGGAACTGAAAATTAGCAAAATTAATTTAGAATGGGTATTTGATCTCAATGAAAAGTGAAGTATCATGTACCTTTGATCTTTCTCAGGTACAGTTTTAAAATAACTATAAAACTTTGTCATAGATGTTGGTGCTTTTTAAGCAGATTTGTATTTTCATGTAGTTCATAATGTCATTGTGATATTGTGGCTGATGACAGATGTTGACAAATTTTTTTTCCTAAAGTTACACATTAACCATTTTTTCTTGACAAATGAAAATTTATTTCTTATTTATGCTTAATAT